CTTTTCTTCCTGCTCCCTTCTCCCTTTCTCTTTTTCTAGCAGAAGATAGAGGATGTAAAACCCTCCTCCAGAAGGAAAACGCCCAGACACTGGGAAGGTGGACAAGAGGGAGGGGCAGGGATGACTGGAAGGTCCTTGCCTACCCCACCCACCCACAATATGTGCAAAAACGAGGGTGCATGAAAGCCGGAAGTAGTCAAGGAGGTTGGAGACCCAATACCCACTCCCTCAGATTTACTTGAGCCTCACAGAGCTGGACAGGGTCCCCTTCCACCAAGGAACACCAAGACACAGCCCCTCCCAGCCCTGCCTGTTCACTACGGCCCTAGATGCCTCTAGGAGGACGAAGGAGGGGTGACAGCCCACAAAGCCAATTTCACCTCTAGAGCCCACCCAGGGTCCTTGAGCTCATACTCCATGTCAAAGACCCCATGGCAGACTGCTCCTTCTTCTGGGGAAGAAGGCTGGGACATGAGAAATAGACCCCACCTTTTTGGGGTGGAGGAGTAAGCCCAGGGCCCAGCAGCTCTCTCTCCCCCTCTAGCACTCTGTGAACAGAACCTACCTACCGCTGCTCCAAGTACATTCTTACCCAAGTGGAGCCCCCTCCTACTGGCTTCCCTCTCTGTCACCCCCAGCCTGCCCCAGCAAGCCTCTCTCCTCTCCCTCAGGCCCCCCATCTTGTCCATCCCCATCACAGACTCATCTATGCCTAGAGCATCTTGGCATCTTTCTCTCTACTCCCTCCTGATAACCTCCTCTCCCCTTGGCTCCCATCCCCCAGGAAAACCTTTTCTTCAGTGATTACCCCCAGACCTCCCTCTCCACTCCTCAATCCTCTCTCCAGTCGGCCTCCTCTCCCACGAAGACCAGTGTTTCTCCCCTGCAGACCCTTCAGACCACAACAGCTCGCAGCCTCTCTGACCCATCACTGGTTCCAGCTGCCAGGAACAGCACAGATTAGGGAACCCCTCCCCCCGCATTTCAGACCCCTTCTCACAGCCCTGTGGATGCCCCTTCTTCACATGCCACCCCTTCCCCCAACGACCCTCCCTCACCCCCCTTCATTTGCCCCAGCTCAGGGCCAGTGCTCCTTCCACAGGGAGTCCCCCAATCACCCCTAGTGGCTTCGCCTCCTCGCTGTCACCCAGCCAGCTCTCTCTGCTCGGCGCCCCCGCCCCCAAATCTGTCCTTTCTGCATCCACCGCCCCCTCCGACCCGCTCCCCTCCCCCGACTGGCTCCCGCCCCCCACCCGTCTCCGCCGCAGCCCCCCCATACCTGGTTCTGGGGGCGCCAGGAGCTGAAGGGTGGGGATCAGAGCCTCGAAACCGTCTGGTCTCCGGCAGGTGACAGATCCGAGGCCGGCGATATCGGCCGCCTCACGCTACTCGGTCCCCGCCGCGTCCCCGCCCGCCCCGCCGCGGTGCCGCTCCGAGGAGGATGCTCTGAGAGTCAGGGCGGCTGCTCCCGCCGCCGCATCCCTGCAACACCGACTGACGGCAGCATCAGCACAGGGCCCGCCCCCCAGGCACGCGCATTGGACCACGCAGCGCTGACGGACAAGTGGTGCGGCCAATGTAAAGGTGCAGAAGCCGCCAGTCCCACGGCTCCACTGGCCCACCTCCCTCCCCCGCGCTAACCCAGGCGTCCCGGCCCCAGGGCATCCGAACCCTTCCGCGCCTCTCAGGACCTTTGCCCAGACGTCCAGGTCTCCTAACCCAGCAGGTGCTCTCCCCAGCTTCAGTGTCTTAGGAATCCAGGTTCCCTAGCCCCTCCTCATGGTTGGGTCCTTGGATCCCACACCCACCCGCCCCTGCCGGCTGGTCCCGAAAACAGTGCCCAGAGCTGGGACAAATCAAAGGAGAAGACTGAACCCCGGACTTGGGGCACCGAGAGAGCAGGACCTGAGCGGGGACCTGGGCCACAGCGCCCTCTGCTGGCTGCATCTGGGGGCTGGCCTGGGCTACTTGGAGCCAAAAAAAGGGCCCCCAACCCCCCCACCCCGACTGCTGGTGGCTTTTTCCAGTCACTCGTGGAGATCCTACCCATCACTGTCCCAGCATCTTCTACTTGGAAGCCTCCGGAACTGAACAGCTAGAGGGCTTCGCTGGGATAAGGACGAAGCTGGTGGGGGATGAAAGAGCTGAGTTACAAACAGAATAGACCTAGGGGTTTGGGGTTTCCTAGCCCAGTCTCCTGGGAATCCCAGAGTTTGGAGCCATCTCTTGCCCCCCCCCCCCGTGGAAGGCTGGGCTGGGACAGAAGGTTAGCGTGTGGGTTAAGGCTACTCACACCTGGTTACTGAGTGCGAGACTGATAGCATCCTCCTTTCAAGCTCCTACCCCTAGCTGTGGATTTCTAGAATGTGGTCCTGGGGTGCAGGTCTTCTGCAGTAAGAATGTCTGCATCGCCGCGTTTGTGTCAGAATGTGAGAAGGGAACCCCCCCCCCTTCACTCATTCCACCGAGAAAAGGTGGATTCAGCGCCTAAGTGTGTATACCATTAGCTAAGTTGGATACAGGGCTTCTCAATGAGGCAGTGTGCAGGCGTGGGTGTGGTCGTGGGTGTGCGGCAGACCATTCTGCCAGTTCTCCCCAGGACCCTGATTTCTGTTACAGGGCCTGTGATCTGCACAGCTGGTAGCAGTTGGCATTTCCTTAGCCAAAGGCAATATGCAAGAACACACATCCAACCACTAATGTATGCAGATACACGTGGGGTACACAGCCATGCACACCTGTCTTGTGTGCCCAGCGTTTCCAAAGACACAAAAGGACACTTCAGAGACGCCCCACCATGGTAACTCACCACAGGAAAAGCACACTCCCTCAAGAGCCTGCATGCTTGCCACACAGGTATCTGCATAGTCAAGGGTTAGCACACACCCAAGGTGCTCACAGGGGACCTGCCCATAGGGTCACCCTAACCATTGGAAGGTACTTTGCAGAGAGTGGTCAATTCCTGAGTTAGTGAATGTGGACATTCCCCAGAGGGCCTCCTTTGACTGCCTGTAAGGGGGATAGGAGGGGACCCAGCTGCAGAGGGTATTTCCTAGGCAGTGGAAAGGGAGATTCCTGAACCAAGTCCCAGATTTGGGGCCTACCCTGACCTTGGAAAGACCCTCAAGCTGCCCCCACCCAGGCCACTGGAGGAGGAAGAACAGGAACTGCTGAGTCAGGGCCTCTCTGACCCCCCCCACAGCCTACTGCCCCACCCATCCATCCTCCACTGCTCCTCTTCCTGTAGGCTACACACACACACACACACACACACACACACACACACACACACACATTCCAAAATGCAGGTGCAGTGACCCAATGACAATGCTCAAAACTAAGAAATCTGGTGGGGAAGGAGCAAGGGTGACCCTAGTCTCCTGTCCTGCCCTCAGCTTTTCCCATCAAGGGCAGGAAAGGTCACTGGATCCCTGCCCCTCTACTTTGGGAGGGAGGTTCCATATTCAGACCCCTCATGGCAGCTGGGCCCCACCACTTCAGAATACACACCTCAATACACGGGTCCCACCCAGCGTGGACACTGAGGGAAGCATGAAGTAAACACCCTTCTGGGCAGGTACACAGGCCAGTAGGGACACACAGGGAGGAAAAACCCTGCAAATACAGGCACAGGTCCCACACACACATCCGCAGGTACACACTATGGGAAGCCCAGACATCCAGTTCTGACACATCTGAATGACAGTTGAAAGACAGGTACGTGTCCCATCCCAGACAGGCAGAGTTGAGCTCCAGGGCACACCACACACTGGGAAGAGGCCAGGAAGGGGCTGGGGGTGGGCTGGGGCGCCGACCAGGCTGCAGGGATGGAGGCAGCGGGAGGCAGGCTGGCAGAGCAGGAGCTAGCTGCTCTTCACAACACAATCGCCGTCTGTTGTTATAGCAACTCAGCCCCCAAATCGTGAAACGGATATTACAGCCTCAAGAGGGGGAAGGGCAGGAGGGGGCTGAGGACAGAAGGAGAGGCAGTGTAGGGGACTCAATGAGGGACAGGACTAAAGCTGATCCTTGTGACAGGGCAGGAGAATGAGGTGATCCAAAATAAAGAGTATGAGGTCAGGGGAAGTAAAGTCAAAAGGTAGAGAGGGACAGGAAGTGGGGGATCCGGGACCACAGCCAGGTCTGCAAAACAGGGCGATGTGCAGGTAGGGAACTGGGGTGCTCCTTCTCTACCCCCAGAACAACCCAACACCTGCTGGAGGGCATCCTGCAGTGTGGAAACCTGGAGAGGTTAACTCCTAGTCTCAGCATTGCTATCTGATACCTCCTGATCTAGGGGCAGCCTGGTCAGGCTCTAGATCCTCTGGGTGACCCCCATAGAGCACCTTCCTGTCCCAAAGCAGCCTCAGAAGTGGCCTTGGCCTTGCTCAGTTAGTGGCGATACCCGCCCACCCCCAAGTTCTCTGTGCTGCCAGCGCAGGAGGGAAGAGCAAGCTGGGCTAGGAGAGGCCTCCGGAGCAGGATCAATATGTATTTCCTCTGGAAGTCGCTGTCCTTCCGGCTGGCAGCAGCACCAAGCCAAGAGGCTGCATGGCCACGGAGCTCAGCCCCCACCCTGAGGCACACCAGCCCAAGCCTCTGGCTGTCCACACCCCTCCTGGCTCTCAGCTCTGCCTCCACAGCCAGCACCCAGGGTGACCCTCTCCCTCCTGCCATGAGCACCTTGTCACTGGGGTATTCAACCAGGGCCTAAAATGTTACCTGGAAGGCACGGGAGTTTTGCTTATGGGCTGAAATCTCTAGTTGCCCCAGGCCTAGCAATTCTAAGGTGCAAAGACTCACTAGTGTCAAGACTCAGAATCCCCAAGATTCAGGACTCCCCTCCCATTCTAGACCCTTCCCAAAAGTTTTGTGTTCTGAAGTTTTTCTGCTTCTAAGGCCTCATTACCCCAAGGATCCAGACACACATGAGATTGCCACCTGTCCAACCTATGGAATTCTAGAAGTACAGTGTAAGGATTTTAGGCTAATTGTCCAGATTAATTATTTGGGCCTTTTTATTCCATCTGGAAAATACAAATATTCACAAGAATCTGTACAACCTTAGGGACACCAGCCCTGGCCCTGACATCAGTGCATGCCACCCTCAACCCCCACCCTCAGTTTCCTGCCCCAAACCCCAGGCTCCCTGCTCTGCTCCAAGTCTTTTCTCCAAAGCAGGCATCCTTGATAGTCACATCTGGGAAGAGAAAAGACGTAAGCTGTAAGGAAGACAACCCCCTTGTCAAAGTAGGAGCCCACCTGCCCAGGCCATTTAGATAAGTGTTTCCTAGGCCCTCCCCACAAGCTACCCCAGCCTGTGGCAGCTTGCACAGGGAGGGAGGACTCACCATCTTATAAGTGGATGTCAAACACTCCGTCCTCCACTGTTTGCACCTCCTCTTCTCGGATCTCTGTGGAATGGGATGGGAGAGTTATCCACAAATCCACCCCTGGTCCCTGTGACCTCAGCAGCCTTCTCCGATCACAGGAGGCTCCCGTCCGTCCCTTCCCCATCCTGGAAGCAAACCCATCCTCCAAAAATCAATTCTCAGAACGACCAAACGACCCCATTTTCGATGCTTGTTCTTCGTTTCTTTCTGCCGCAGCTCTGCCCACAGCCACATCTCTGTGCAGTTTACTTAAACGTCGATTTTGTGTGTATTGCACAGTTTAAAGTCCAGCACATCTGAAAACCGACTGCAAACAGTTTTCTCTCTTCTATTTTTAAGAACTTATGGCAGCCCAAATGATTGTGGCCAAATTGCCTTGGACCTCAGTTTAGCTTATTGTTCAGACTATTCTCAGGGAAAATAATCATTTGGCAAATCATCGTTCAGCAAACCGATCAAAACCAACAGACACCCCAAAGAGTACCACCCAGAGGTTATGGGGGAAGGGACTTTCATAATGACAGGCAAAAAAGAGAAATGCAAATAATCCCTAACAAAACAGAAGTACAACTGGGATTTTGAAGCTTCTTTAAAATTAGGGTGCACACCTTTAATTCCAGTACTTGGGAAGCAGAGCTGGACAGAGCTATATAGTATTTTGAGACCCTGTCTCAAAAATAAATTAATTAAACTAAATTAGGGCCTCTCTCCATGCCAACCTCGGACAGCTGGGAGCTCTTTGAGCACTTTCTGGCACTCTTACCTGCCCAATCAATCCTTTATAGTCCCACCAAAATAAAAGAATGGAAGTCTGAACCGGCCAGCATCCTGGATAAGTTTATAAGCCACAATGACACTGACTGCCTGGGGTCCCTCTTACCTGGGGGCCTGGAGCTGCGCCTGCCTGGGCGAGGCAGGGAGAAGCTGAAAGCCCGATGGTGTGTGGGTGAGGGAGAGGGCGCAGAGCCCTCCAGGCTCACGCTCTGGGCCCTGCGGCGACACTCCACAGACAGGCGGTCTTTGCACTGTTTGTGGCAATTCACTCCACAAGCTGAGGGAGGGAAGAAGAGGAGTCCAACAAGGGCCGCGGGTCAGAAAACTCTCCATGCCATCCTTCAGGCCTGGGCTTCTCCCAGGGTTCTTTGCTCCTGAGAAATCACCCCCATCAAACTACGAGGCTCCTCCCAAAGTTGCTCCCTTCGTGTTAATTTAATATCAGACTGTGCCCACAACCTTTTAAAAGATAAGGCCCTCCAGTCGGTCAGGATGCCACCCTAGTTACAACACACTTCATTTGCTGGAAATTGCCACCATCAAAAAAATCCCTACCCCAACAGGAACTCTTCCCCCAAACCTTGGTCCAGCAGCGAAGTCATTTGTTTTATTTTATCTTACCTCTGCATTTGAGGCCCTGTTTGTAGATGCCCAGGATCTGCAATAAAGGAGGGGACCATGCTGGGGGGTTAAGGTTTTACAGGTCCGGAGAACGGGGCCTGGGGTCTAAGACCCAAGGCATTTTGGGTTGGCTAGAGCTTGGACAGTGGGGGGCCAACAGACGGGCGGGACGTGGGCCGGCAGGCTGGGGCTGGAGAGGTGGATGGATAGCGCCCCAAGTCGGGGCAGCGGACGCTCACCAGAGCTTTGCAGTGGCGACAGGCAACCGGGCGTAGCGAGTTACTCTCCTGGAAGTTGTGTACGAAGCCCATGCGGCCGCCCAGCACCGAGCTGGAGCGCAGGAAGTAGGAGACCATCTCCTCCCGGCTGATGCAGCCATCCCTGGTGGGCGTGGGAACACCTCAGCTCGGGTCCTCCCCTGGGGCCAGGGCGGACCTCCCCAATCCCATGGGCCGAGGAAAATGTCCGGAAAAAGTCCGTACAGGAAACAAGAGGACACTTAGCATCTACCACTAACTAGTGTGAGCTTGGCAAAGTCACTTCCCTAGGATTTCCTCCTCAAGACAGTGGGGATCTCGAAGTTGGGGTGTCGGTCGAAGAGACTGGGAGTCTCCAGTTCCTGCAGTGTGCAGGGTGCCTGAGGACTGGTACTTTGAAGAGAACAGGGCAGTTGCTGGGCAGCCGCGCCTGTGATTCGGGGGTTTCCACCAGAGCCCAGCTTTCCAAGCGCCCCTTCTCATCTAGGAATGTATTATAGGCGCCAATGTGTGGTAGGCATAGATAACAGTTCAGATACTGCCTCTAGTTGGTCATGATGGCTCATGCCTTTGATGAGAGTTCAAGGTCATCCAAGTCTACATAAGTAAGTTCCAGGATAGCCAGGGCTACATAGAGAAACTTTGTCTTAACCGCCCACCCATTAAAAACAAACCTCAGCTCTACTTCTCAGCCACGTGACCTGGGGCTGACTAATCTCCCTGTGCTTGAGTTTCCTTATCTCCACATGGGCATAATCCTAGTTCTTGCGCCCCTAAGTACTGTTGAGAGTCAAAGGAGAAAATGTGTACAAATGTCCAAGTGGCTAGGTGGGTCTTCGGTCACTTCTCTGGTTTTACATTTTAATTTGGGATATTCCCCTCCCCCCCCCCTTTTTCAAGACAGGCTATCATTACACAGCCTTAGCCGGATTGGAATTTACTATGTAGACCAGGCTGGGCCGGAACTCAGAGATCTGCCTACCTCTGTCTCCTGTCTCCTAAATGCTAGCTAGGATTAAGAAAGTGAGCCGTCCTGCCTTGCTATTTTTTTAATTAATTAATTTTTTGGGTACATGGTCTCTTGGAGCTGAGGGTGACCTCAAGCTCGTTATTATAGCTGAGTCTGGCCTTGAACTCCTCAGTCTCTCAGACGCTGGAATTACAGACACGTGCCACCACGTCCCACTCCTGGATCACTTCTTGGTGGCTGTCATTTCCACAGGCTAGCCCTTATTTGAAATCTGATGTTCTATGATGTGACGCTAGAGTGCCCTTTTCTCAATGGGGTGATTTGTTTTTAAAAAAAAAAAGAAATACAGGCTTTAGCCAGGCAGTGGTGGCATGGCCCTTCAATCCCAGCACTCAGGAGGCAGAGACAGGCAGATTTCTGTAAATTCCAGGTCAGTCTGGTCTACAGAGCAAGTTCTAGGACAGCAAGAGCTGTTACAAAGAGAAACTCTGTCTTGAAAAATGATAGATAGAGAGATAGACAGACTTTATATGACATATGAAAACCATTCTCCTAGAATGAGACACAGATGAATACATAAATCATGAACGTAAGATTTGAGAATTGTTTTGTGACCTTGAGCAGAGGGCCTTTCTATACTTCATATAAATCCAAAAAGCCATCAAAGAAAAGGTTGACATATCAAACACGCCAAGCTTTAAAAAAATTTTATATGGAAAAAGACAACATCAGTGACAGACAGGAAGAAAATATTTGCAAACATACTCAACAGCAAAGGGTTAATATCCATTAGTACAGATTCTAGAAATCAATGAGAAGACGCACAAACCCACTAGGATGACAAACAAGGAATATGAACAATTAACAGAAGAAATACAAGCGGCCACTAAGTATATGAACAGATAGACCCCGGTCGTGTTGGGAAGATGCAAATTAACAAAGACACCATTTTCCAACTCAACTGGCAAAAGCATAGGGCTTATTCCAGCCTCCACTCTTGCAAGGAGGCTGGGCATGGGGCACAAACTTGTCTGAGGCCAGCTGGCAGTCTCTCTCTCCTAACTTAGGATGTATATGCTTTGGATGCAGTGATCCCACTTCTAGGAATCTCTCCTCCAGAAACATTGGGCCAAGCGAGTACATAAGGAATTGGGATACAAAGACTTTCCCAGAAGCGGGGCAGATAATTACAGAGCAGCTGCGGACCATCTGCATGTCCATCGGCTGAAGGAGGCACAGGAGAAGGGGTGGCCAGCCACACAGTGCAGTCCGGACTCTAAAGGACGGCGTAGTGTGGATACCACATCCCAGTGACAGAGTGCTTGCCTAGAACATGTAAGCCCTAGGCTCAATCCCCTGAACCCCAAAATAAATAAATAAATACTAACGATGCACTCCTACATGAATCCACGTGAAAAGATGGGTGTGGTTTAGCACAGAGCAAACATAGAAACAGGCATGGGATAGGGCTCAGGGGTAAAGTGCTCGCCTGGTATTCATAAGGCCCTGGGTTCAATGCTCAGCACAGAAAAAAACAAAATATGAGCCAAGGTGGCTCATCCCTGGAATTCCAGCACTCTGGAGGCTAAGATTGTAAGGTCAACTTGAGCTCCATAGTAAGTTCCCAGCAAGATCCCACCTAGAGTGAGACCCTGTCTCCAAAAAGAAGTAAATAAATAAATAAAATATTAAAATTAATCAACCGTTTTTTTTAAAAAATGCATAGATGATTTTGCAAGAGATAGAAATCTCCCAGTTCCAGAAACAGAGAGCTTCAGAAGCCAGAGGTGGTGGCAGTCCTCAACCGCAAGTCTCCAATCAGAGGAGCTCTGGGGAGGTCAAGGCAAAGGAATCGGGAGTTCAGCACCATACCTGGCTGTAGAGTAAGTGCGAAGCTGGCCAGGACATAGCAACCTTACCTTAAACAACTTAAAAAAAAAAAAAAAGAGTGAGGGGCAGAAATAACAAACTCAAAAGAAGCAGTGAGCTAGAACTAGAACTGGTCTTCCTCTGAATTCTAGGGGGAGCTGGCGATGAGACCCAGGGCTTGTACACGCTAAGCCCAGGAGCTGCCACTGACCTACATCCCAGGTAAATAGCCTCTTTTCTCTTTATGAGCCCATTAGCTGAATGAGCTTACATAAAGTTGAGTCTTGGGGCTGAGGCTCCGTGAAGCTACGACCTCCAGAAAGAAAAAACAAAACAAAACAAACCCACCCACCAGCCCACCCCGGGAGAAAACATGGAACTGGGTGTGTCTGCTGCACTCTGGCCACCAGTGGGAATGGATCCATATGTGAATCCATATGTTTGGCTATGAAACACACTTTAGACCAAAATCCACATCCATTTTACATGGGTGCCCAAAAGGATGGAAGCAGTCAGGTATGGTGGCACACGCCTGTGATCCCAGCACTAGGGAAAATAAGGAAGGATCACTTTGAGTTTGAGGACAACCTGAGCTAGATAATGAATTCAAGCTAGCTACAAAAGAACCTTGACTAACTTTTGGTTTCTCTGTATAGAACAGGCTGTCCTCAGACTCAGGGAGATCCTCCTGCCCCTGATCCTCCTCCACCAGCGCTGGGATTAGAGGCCCTATTTTTTTTTTTTTAACATTCACTTACTTTAAACACTTGGTTCATTGGGAATTTATTTCACTACCTGGATTTGGTCTTACCATAAATTTTTGTAATGTGGCAACAATAATAATAATAAGCGTTTTTTCAGACAAAGCCTCATGTAGCCCAGGCTAACTTCAAATTTGCTATGACTTAAGAGTTTCCAACTCTCCTGCTTCTACCTCTCAAATGCTGGGATTCCAGGAAAGTGTCACTATGCCCCATTATATAGTACTAAAGATAAAACCCAGGGCTTTCTTGCATGCTAGGCAGACACTATAACAACTGAGACCCATTCCCAGCCCCCAAACTACATATTTTCGAAACACATGTCACATTTAAAAATAAATCAACCTGGGATGGACAGTACATTTTGACTGGGTTTTTGTCATCTCAGCAAATATGGGGCATAAACACTGTTACGGAGGGCGCATTTAACCTGTTACAGAGAACCAGATGTGTTTCCAAATTGCCAGCATATGAACTGTGGATAAGCAAGTGGGTGCTCTAATTACTGCCTCTCTTACTGTTCATTAAAGCCGGCTACCCAGGGACTCAACTTCCCCACACTCTTGGCAGCTGTGAACTCCACAAACAAAATAGTGTTCTCTTTGCAAGGCTCAGGTGGGGCTCCCCCATCTGTCCAAACTAGCAAGGTCATGCTATCCCTCCACGGCTGGCAGCTTCCTCCCACCCCAAAACATCACAGCCGCACAGGAAGCTTCCCAGGCAAGGTAAGGCCTTGCTCTCTGTACCCTCAAAAACTGGAACCCAAGAGGAAGTGGGTTGATGCCTTCCCTCTACCCCGTCCCCAGACCCTATCCTCCTCACTGGTTCTGGTCCAGGTCCCCAAAGGCGCTGAGATAAGGGAAGTTGCCCCGGATGATCTGGAACTCCTCCTGTGAGATGTGACCATCCCCATCGACGTCAAAGTTCCGGAACACAGACTACAGAGGAACACACAAGGCCAGGAGAGGGGAGAATTAAAAGGAACGTCTGAACCCAGTCTGTTATGAGTGGTATCAAAGATGCCTCCCATGTCCCTTTTCAGTCCTGCCTCATCAGCCCGTAATGCAACTATCATGCTATGCTCTGTGCCTCCTGGGGAATGGCCATCAGATATGGCATTAGTAGTGGCTCCCAGGGCCAGGCTCCTAGCTTCATGGACCCCTGCTTCTACCAGATTCCCTTGGCCTCCAGGACTCTCACCTCCACCATCTTCTCAATGTGCTCTGCCACCAAGGCCTGATCCAGCTTAGGCTTGGCAACTGAGGTCCACTCTTCCAGCACAGGAGGTCGGGGAGGTGGAGTGCAGCTGGTGGGGCTGGTTGGCTGTGGGAACAGTCAGGTCTGAGCCAGGGCCAGAGTGGGAATGAAGCTAAGGCTCTAATAAATAGAGAGAGCCTGCCCAAGGCCAGCCCCACCCCCAGGATTCCACTGTCAAGCAAGTGGGTGGTGTAGAGGATGGAGAATGTTCCTTCTGTCCCTGCACCCTGGGATTCAAGCACAGAGTGAGGGGTGAGGAGCTCCCTTACCGATGACTTGGAGCGTGGCTCCCGCTGCAGGGAAAGCTGGTACAGCTCATCCTCCGTCTGATACTGATCCAGGGACACCTAGGACACATAGGTCTTCATGCCCTCAGGTCCCTGCTCCCCTCTTACATAGGAGCTACAAACCCAGGGCCACAGGACTTCTTACTATTCTGCCCAGAGCCTGATGTGAAAGCTAGACTCAGGACAAAGACCAGCTTAGAAAATACTCCAACCACTTCCATGCCAGCCAGTCCATAGAGCAAACTTTAAAAACAATTCACTGCCAAAATAACACAAGGCATGGAGTCAGAACTGGATGCCCAAAGCTGGGCATGGCCCCTGTGAGCCAAGCACATTAGAGGCTCAGATAAAGAGACCACCATGAGTTCAAAGCCAGCTGAGGCTCCCTAGTAGGTTCATGTCAGCCTGGGCTACCAAGTGAGATCCTGTCTCCAAAAACTAAATTAATAAATACCAAAAAGAATTTCAATCAGGAGCCAGAATCATGTTAGAAATCACCCATGTCTGCCAAGTGGGTGGTGCACACCTTTAATCCCAACACTTCCGAGGCAAAGGCAGGCAGATCTCTGTGAGTTTGAGGCCAGCCTGATCTACAGAGTGAGTTCCAGGACAGCCAAGACTACTCAGAGAAACACTTTCTCAAAAAAGAAAAAGAAAAAAGAAAAAGAAAAAAGAAAAGAAATCACCCATGTCACAGCTTAGTCCTACCCTTTGAATATAACCCAGTCAGGAGCTCAAATCAGGACCAAAAACCCAGGCCCAGCCTCAGACCCAGCCCATGGTCCATGCAGCAGCCTTGAGATCAAACCACAGGCCTGTGTCTCAGGGCAACTTTGGAACCTCCTCAGAGTTCGGTGCAAACCCCAGAGTCCAAACTTAACCTCAGCTTTTTGTTCCGAACCCAGCAAGCCCACAGTCATAGCAGACTCCTCACCGTGAGCAGACTCAGCAGGTCAGGGTTGGCTTGCACTGGTGGTCGCAGGCTGGTCACCATGGCCAACTCCTCCAGAATGCTAAAAAGTTGCCTCATCTTGGCTCCATTGAGCCTGGTCCGACCCGGGTCCAGCCAGTCAGGCAGTGCCAGCTGCAGGGCCACCAGATCCTTGAGGTGCACACCCAGGATAGGGAAGCGGAAGCCCACGCAGGCTGCCAGTCTTCGCCGGTAGTTGCTGTAGTTGCCAGTGGCTGTCACTAATTCTGTCAGACCTTCCCAGAGCTGGGGGGGGTAAAGGTCAGAGTGTCGCTCAACCATCCTCCCACCTCAGCCCTAGAACTGTGGGAATAGATGGGAGCAAGGTCAAGGGTGGGCAAAAAGGTCAAATCCTCCTTACTGCTCTCTCAAACTCCAGGGTCAGAGCTCATAGGCTATGAGTCCAACGAAACAACTACACCAGCGCTAAAAGCACAAGTTTCCAACATTTAAGCACAGGCCTATTGACTGAGAAGGGTGTTAGCAGACAGGGTGTCTGGCGATGGTAAATAGTGAAAAAAACTTAAACTGAGCATGGCCACATAAGCCTGGAATTCCAGCAGTGGGGAGGCAGATGCAGGAGGATCACTGTGGACTTGAATTTGTAAGTTCAAAACCAGCCCCATCTACATTGTGAGTTCCAAGCTAGCTAGGATTATACAGTTGTCTCAAAAAGTAGTTGGGGGCCTGGCGGTGGTGGCGCGTGCCTTTAATCCCAGCACTCGGGAGGCAGAGGCAGGTGGCTCTCTGTGAGTTCAAGGCCAACCTGGTGTACATAGGGAATTTCACGACAGTCAGGACTGCACAGTGCGACCCTGATCAAAGATAAGAAAGAAAAAGAGAGAGGGAGAAGAGACAGAGAAGAAACGAGAGAAAGAAGGCTGGCAAGATGGCCGGGTGGGTAACGGCTTGCCACCAAGTCTGAGGACCCCAGTTTAATCTCCAGGGCTCATGTGGACTGCTGCCAGTAGACCTCTGAGCTCCACCCAAGAGCTGTGGCGTGGGCACATGCACACACCCACGTATGGGCACACATACACTAAATAAACTAATCCACAAAAAAAGAGATCCCTCAAAGGTTCAACAATACAACAAACACTAAGTTAGGACAGATTTACAATAATGTGAAACAATAAAAATGAGTAATTGCCACAAACAATAGGATGGAAAGCCTCTCCCATCCAGGTGGAATGAAAGGGTCTGAGGCCTAAAACCACATTTGCCCCTACCCAGAGGAAGTTGGAAACGGGGAAAAAAGTAAAGCTAGGAAGAAAAGAAAAGACCTCGTCATAGAGGTCCTGACCCCTGTTGCTCGGGCAGGGGTCACCATGGAGTCTTATTACCCTTTAAGGAGCATGTTTTCTGGGCTCTGTTGGTTTGGGCTTGGTGCTTGGTGCTCGGTCAGAGCCTAGGATATTCAAGTGCACACTACCCCTGAGCACTCTCCAGTCAACATGCTTTTCTTTCTTTAAAAATTTATTGCTGGGTGGTGGTACACACCTTTGACCCCAGCACTTGAGAGGCAGAGGCAGGCGAATCTCTGAGTTCAAGGCCAGCCTGGTCTACAGAGTGACTTTCTGAACGGCCAGGGCTACGCAGAGAAAATCACACACAAAAAGGGACTTATTTTATTCTATGCGTGTGGGATGTGGGATGCTCTGCCTGCATGTATGTATGTATGTATGTATGTATGTGCATCATGTGAATACCTGGTACCCTGAGCCAACCGGTGGGTGCTAGGCGCTGAGCCTGGGTCCTCTGCAAGAGCAAGTGCTCTTAACCATTGAGAATCTCTGCAGACCCCAGTGTTGTGCTTCTTAAACTTTATAGTGGTTTTCCCCCTTTATTGTTACTTTTTTCTGAGACAGGGTCTCATGATGTAGCCACTGGAGAAATGACCCACCAGTAAAATGTCTGCCATGCAAGCACAAGGTCCCAAGTGGTCCCTGGCAGCCACATAAAAGCCAGGCATAGCTGTATGCATGTCTGTAACCAAAGCACTCGGTGGGTGGAGAAAGACAGATCGTTGGAGTTCATTGGCCAGTTAGTCTAGCCAGTTGGTAAGCTCTGGGTTCAGTAAAAGACCCTATGTCAAGATAGAATGGACCTGGAGAAGCGGCTCAGAGGTATTTGCTGAGCTTCCAGAGGCCCTGAGCTCTGTTCCCAGTACCCGTCAGGCAGCTCACAACTGCCTTGTGACTCCAGCTCCAAAGGAACCATCCGGTCTCCACGGGCACATGAACACATGTGTCATACACACACACCCATAAATAAAATGAATGAATAAGAATTTTAGAAAGATAAAATGGAGAGTGACAGAAGAAGAAAATAAATGTCAACCTTTGTTCTCCTGCACACACTGTGCACACACATACACTATACAGATACACACAAAATTTTTTAAAATTAAGTTTGGGACCAAGCAGGGCTGGGACCGACGCACCACTGCCAGTGCTTTGAACCCCTCCAAGCCTCAGTTTCTTCAACTGTCAGAGAAGAACAGTTGTGCCTAGGCCTCAGCACTGTACCGGGAAGGCTGCAACTGGGAAGCTTAGGCCCCTCCCGAACCAGGTACCTTGATGGTCTCAGGGCTGACATGGCTGTGGGTCTCTTTGAGGCGGGAGATGGAGCTGTGGCTCAGGCCTCCGACAACAGCCATCAGCGTGTTGAAGTTCTGCAGGTGCAGCAGCTTCTGGGAGGCACATGTGGAGGGGGAGGCAATGTGTCACCCAGCAGCCCTCCTGGAGAGAAGAGGAAGGGCTTGATGGCTCAGGGAGGCTGGGCATGCAGGGAAAGTGGGCACCTCTGCCACATGCACGAAGTGTGTGATGACCAGCGCCCGCTGCGTGGCTGTGGGCTTGCTGAGGATCATGAGCTGGACCCACTGTGAGACGCTGTTGAAGAGGGAGATGAATCGCTCCAGGACAGGGTTGTCTACGGTGCAGCCGTGAGTCACAAAGCTGTGATAGTCCTGGAACTGTGGGCAAGTGGACTTGGCCTGAGTGCCCTGCTGGCCTCTCCCATGGCTACCAGCCTTGGTGCCCCTCCCACTGTCTCAATAATGGAACCCCCAACCATTCTCGGGAGGCAGCCTATCCCAGTCTTAGCCCTTTCTGGAACTCCCTTCTCAACCCGCACTGCACCCCAACCACAAGCCTTCAGGCACACCAGGATCTTGCAGAAGGACCGATACTCCAAGTAGGTGAGATGCTCTGCCAGCTCCATAGGTTCCAAGTGATCAAACAACAGGGACATCTTGCGCTTTTTCTGTTCCACAGGGTTCCGCTGCGTCACCTGCCGCTTCCACTTGTAGGTGGGGCTGGGGGAGCAGGGGTAGTGAGCCCTGTGCTAGAGGTGTCCCCTGCCTCCTGTGACACACACACACACACACACTCAGACATGCCACTCAAACTTGACTTGGGACCTAAACAGTAGGAGCCACCCTCCTAAGCACTGACATCCCCAGCCCCAGCCACTCCTTCACGTTCCCGTCACCACGCGCTCAACACTGATGGACAACGTACTCTGTGCCAGGCGCTGTGCTAGGCGCTGGGGTACAGAGATGAGCAAGACACGGTTCCTGCCCCCGAGGAGCTCACAATCTACTGGGGGAGACAGACACAGAAACATGCCATCACCAAACAGTGGGACACATGTTCCCAGGGCTCTGGGCAGGAGTCTGCACAGAGCATCTTGGGAAAACACAGGAAAGAATGGCAAACCCTGCCCTGGAAGAGTAGCATACCCTTACCAGGCAGGGTCGCCAGGCTTGTGCTGAGTCTGGTGAGATGGAAGAGACAGGGCAACAAGAGCGAGTACCATGGAGAGGAAGGATGCAGGACACAGACAATGGCGGGTGGACCCAAAGAGCCGCAGCATGAAGTGTGTGGGATGCACGACAGGAATGTCAGGCTGGCCTAGCACCACACAGGCCTTAATGGCTGGAAGTGTTTTGAAGGTGACAAGGAGCCATGGAAGGTTTTAAAGCAAGAGAGTGACGTGACCCTCACTCATTCAATTGAACAGACATTTATTAAGCACGTAAGTGTAGGCTGCTCAGTGCCCCAGCCCCCCACGCACACACTCTCGATGTCGATGAGGCTGCTGTGCCTTCGGTTCCCTTCTTGGTCTAACAGAGCTTTCAGCTCTTTGATCTGCTCAGCCAGCTCTGGGTTCAAGTCAAACTCTGCTGGGAACGCTGAGATCCAGTACCTGGAGGAGGGCAGAGTCGAGTCACCTCAGGCAGTCCTCCTCCCCTCCATCCCCAAGTGGGCAAGTATTCACCCCCAAAAGTGAGGTAAAGTGTCTTGAGTATGTTCTGCTCCAACACCCCTCCCCCCCCGTCCTCCAGCACTTCCCCTCTCCATCCCCAACCCAAGCACACCAGCAGAATTAACTAAGCCAGCAGCACACCTCCACAGTGGCCACTGGCAAAACCCACAGGGTCTGTCCCCTGGATGCTGTCCACTCCTGGAGCCCACCTGAAGCTTGAGGAAACAGCAAGAAGGGCCCAGACTCACCTGACCAGGTGACACGTTTTCACCTGTAGAGAATTGGAGTTGTCCTTCCGGGACTGCTGATAGGTAGAGCACAGTTAAGGACGGCAGCGCTGAACCAAAGGCCAGGACTAGGGCAGGGCCTGAGAACCCAGGGGGTGGGACTCCAGCACAGCCTGGGTTCCAGGAGGACTGGGGGAGGGGGGTGAGCACCGAGGGAGCAGCCACAGATGGAAAGGCAGAGGGTCCTACTCCACTGGCCTAGGAGACGGGCAAGAAGAGGTCCCTGGACAGAACAAGACCTTAGGAGAAAGCAAGGGCAGGGCCTAGGCCACAGAGGAGACCAAATCCTCAGCTAGGTACAGGGGAAGCCTAGGAGACAGGGCGGTGTCTGAATGTGGGTTATAGGCCAGGTCTGCACTCGAGGCTCTAAGGACCTGAGCAAGCCAAGCAGGATGGGCTCTTGGACCCGACAACCGGGCCTCAGTCATGCCGTCAAGGATATATGTGGAGCAGTTTCGCAGCCAGCTGAGAGGAAGGTATGTACCAGGGGTGCATCATGAGAAACATGCGCACTAGCTGCGGATCTCGCACCTTTCCGGAGTCATCTGCTCCAAAAGTCAAAGAGAAGGCGGCTGACCCTTGGTCCGGAGGCTCAGACAGCTAAGCCTAGTCTGTAGTCTCGTGTCAGGTCCCTGGGTCTGCCCACCTACTGCTTTTCCTAGCACTCCAAAGCCAGGAGGTCAAAGTTGAGAAAGAAGTCTGGGTGGGCAAGGGGTACCACAGGATCCAGGAACTGGAGGAGAGGAGGTTGGAGAAAGCCCATAGTCCGGAGGGGAACCAGCTGGGGCGGAAGGAGCCTGGGTTCCCCGGGGTCAAGAATCCAGAGGTCATTTCCTGAGTGTTGGGGGAAGGGGTACCCCTTCACCAGATAAACCAACCCCCATCTGCCGGAAACAGTTCCCAGGCTAGAGATAGAAAGTTCCTCCGGATTCCTCAGGGAGACAGATAATGTCCATCCCAGGTCAGAGTTGGGACCCCTGTCCCCCAATTCCCTGCTGTCTGGATATAGGGTATATTTGGGCACCTCTCAGCAAAGAAGAGGGACTTTCGTTAAGTGGACTGCAAGATGGGAGCCTGAGTAGGTCCTGGCCAGGGGTCTGCTTCAGGCTCGGGCTGGGTGTGCCCCTCGTGCTGCGGGCAACTCACCAAAGGCTTCGATGCAGCCTCGAAGCAGCTCCTCTACCGTACAACCCTTGTCCAGGTCCAGGGTGCTCGCCATGGCCTCCAGTGCCGATGGGCTGGACCCAAGCTACGCTCCGCAAGCCTCCCACGGGGCTCGAACCCTGTCCTGATCCCGGGAGTAACAGAGTAGGAGTCAGCAGAGGCACCGGGGGAGCGGCCGGGTGCACAGGAACGGGGCGGAGCAGGCACGCCCCCTGCTGGGTAGGGGCGGAGTTGCCTGCAGCTGCCACTCCCGGGTTAAACGGTCCTGCCCCGGGATGGTGCAACCTCCTAGTTGGGAAATGGACTAGCCGAGAGGCTTCCGGCCCACCCGCGGAGTCGCGGGAAGGTAGAAGGGCTCTATGAAAATAACGGACGAGGCAGTACCCCAGGGATTAGATGGTGCCCCAAGCCTCCTGGCGGGCCCTCCGCTCCTAGAGCTTGCTCCCCACAGGCACCTGCAGCACCCCACAGCTCGGTTCTGAGCTCCTCCCGCCTCCCCTCCCTTAACAGCCTCCCTTCCCCCGCAGGGTTATTTTGGGAACCCAGTGCCTGAGGGGACCTCGGAGGAATTTCTCCCTGGGTTGGGAGGAGGGAAGAGAGAACCCAGGCGTCCTGCCCACATCGCCCCCTCCTGGGCTCCCCGCGAGTGGGAGGCGGGGCCGTAGCATCCCCCAGGGGCCTGCCCTTGGGGAGGAGGGTCGGAGAGGAGAAGAACATTCCTGGGGCGGGGGTGGGGGTAGCCCACTGCGGCTGGGGGTGTCAGTGGGAAGCCAGAGCCTGGGAACCGCGGGCTCCCAAGCCACATGTATGAAGGTCCCAGGGGTGCCAGCTCTGCCCCTCCAGAATTGTCATATATCTCCCCAGCCTGGGCTCCTGACCTCCCACCCGCCTTTCTGCACAGTTAAATTGTGTGTGAGAGCACTAAGTAGAGTGCCCAGAAGGGGCCGCTAGCTCCAAGGGGGGAGGCCATGGCCTGCATGACACCGTTAAGTAACCCTCGTCACCAGTGGGGGCTATAAGCACCCATACAGGGACAAACACCCATTCTCTAGACAAGTTATCTGCACAAGGCCAATGACCTACATTAAGAGCAAGAAGACTCCTCACACACACCAGGGTCACACTCACCTCCCGTCCTGTCACACACAATGGCACCCACACCCCAAGCGCACCTGCAATGAAAATCCTCAGCCACACATACCCAGGTCCTTTATTCCAGAATCCAAGCCCGCACGCGGTTCTCCTCCCAGACCTTCTGTTCACTTGAGCCAGCCCAGCCTCAGATCCCTCGGCCACAGTAGCTCTGACATCTGTACACGTGTGCACACACGCAAAGACAGTGTGCATCTCCACCCATGTACACTCCCACACACATGCACATAACCCCGTGGTTGCGCACACACCCATTCTGCCGCCCCTCCCCCTTCAAACATGCTCCAGGACCCGCAGCCACAGGGCTCGGGGTTCCTCACACTCTTGGCCCTTGCCAGAGCCTTGCCCCAAAGAAAGGACCTCGCCCTACACAAACTCCCCCACATTAGGGAGTCCTCCCGAGGACTTCACAGAGCCATTCCCTCCTGACTCAGTTGCTTCCTAGCTGGGTGACCTTGAGAATCATTTGGCCTCTCTGAACCTTAATGTTTCCATCTGTCAAATGGGGACTTGCAGGGAAGGGGCTGGTAGAGATGTGTCAGGACAGCACCGGTGTGCCACGGACTCCCCCCTCCCGCGAATGGCTCTAAGTGCCTTTGCTCCTCTGCAAGCTCTGTGCTACCCAGGGCCGGGTCGGCAGATTCCCCACCCAACCGCAGTCCCCTCCAGCCTGCCCCTAGGGGATCCCAAGGGACCGCGCCCTCTATGCCCCACGCCCCGTCCGCGCGCGCGCGCTCGCACACTCACTCTTGGGACCCGCAGCACAGAGCCCGCACCCTGCCCGGCCCGCGCCACCTCCGTTCACTCCCGCCCGCCGGCCTCGCTGCGGCTGCGGCTCCAGCCCGCTCTCCGCGCCACGGCCCAGCGCCCCGCCGCCCCGCCCCCTCCCCGCCCCTGCGCCCCGCGCCGCGCCTCCTCCACTGGGGACTCCCCCTCTCGCCCCGCGCGCGTTGGGCCCTGCAGCAGCTTAACCCCTCCCCTGCCACCCCAAAGCGCGTAGCCGCGGGCGGGGGGCTGCGCCACTGATGGCATGGGGACCTCGTGCTGCAGCCCTCCCCCCACCGCGACACCCCCGGGCTCTGCGCTCCGCCTGGGTGTCGCACGGAGGAAGCCGGGAGGGGCAGGAAGCGGACTGCGGTGGGGAAGGGGCGCCCCGCCCAGCCCCCCGTCCCGGGTTCCTGTTTTCGAGACAAACCGTTCCCACGAGGTTCACCCTGCCCGGGCCCGGGCGTTTTCCTGCGGGCAGCGGAGGCTCAGGCCTGGTGGAGGTCGCGGGCGTGGGGCTGCGGGTCCTTGCGATGGCCTGAGGGAGGGGCTAGGACAAAATGCGGGCTGTTTTTGGTCGGGTGGAGCCTCATGGGGCGAGGAATGAATGAACACGCGGCTCTCTGGGGACCCAGGCTCGATGTCCAGAGGTGGGGCGAGGGGAACCCCACTGGGCCAGAAGGAAAGGGGCATCTGCAAACTGAGTGGGTTCTCTCCTCCTTCCGAACTGAAAGCCTGGATGCTTGGGCCCAGGCGAGGAGGAACTTGGGAGGGGCAGCCACAAGCAGTTGGGGTCCCTCACATGCTGGTCTAGGGGAGAGGTAACAGTTTCCGGCCGTTTAGACTCACTGTGAAACCCTGGGCCCCAAAACCCCTTCCGAGGATTGCCCCTCCCTGCTGTGGGCGAGGGAGGCAGAACCTCCCCTACACTTCAGTCCTGGTAATGTCAGACTCAGGACAGGCGGTTTATAGGCTTCAGTTTCTCCAGAACACGGAATGCCACTGCCCTCGCCTAAACAGTCTGCGAATGCCCTAAGCCCTAACGCTCCCCTGATTTTGGATTTATCATAGCCACCTGCTAAGAGACCCTGAAACGCCGCAGTGGGGTGGGGCTAGGGGCGGGGCCAATAAGGTGCCCAGCCCACTCGGGACCCTCCCCTAACAGCGTAGATGCTCTGTAGTCCCGGAGGTTCCAGCCCAAATCCCGACTCCTTGACCTAGTGGGTCCCACCCAGGCAGACGCCCCGCCCCCGGCCAACTAAGCTGGCCGCTGACCTAGTATGGACACAGCGCTGGGAAGAGAGGCGTGGAGGGCAAGCCGGAAAAGGGACTGAGCCCCAGGCACCGCCTATGGCCCGCCCCTGTCTCCCCCAGACGATGCACCTGCCTCGGTGTGTGTGGTTGGGGCGGGGATAAGAAGATGGTTTCACAGCAGCTGTTAAGCTCTCCAAGAGCTAAAAATATTTCGCAACAGAAAAGAGTAAGAAAGCTCAAGGAGAGTCAATTTATTGGGGAGTGGGTGCACTTGGTCAGACCCCATTCATAAATAGGAGGGGTAGGGAGTTGAGGAAAAAGAAGGGGTGGTGTCCTTATTCACGCTGGGCATCAGGACCTAGAGACTGGTAAAAGAGAGCTCCAAAAAGGGAAGGGCAGACTAGGAATTCCAGGGGCCCACCCTCTGGATGAAAAGTGGGCCTGATCCCAGGAATTGCAAACAGACTCAAGGGCAGATATGGGGTCTGGTGTTGGAGATCAGATCTTCTCATCCGGGGCTGGCAGGCGCTGGCGAGAAGGTTCTACACCCCAGATCTCCCGGGCATATTGGGCAATGGTTCGGTCACTGGAAAACTTGCCAGAGGTGGCTATGTTCCTGATCACCATCCGCGTCCAGTCTCTTGGGTTCTGAAGACAGGAAGAGAATCTCTAGGTTCACTCTGCCAGCAGGCTGGCCCCATTCTCCTTCATCCCAGCCAGAGTCAAAGCCCTGCCAGCCCCTGGCCCAAGGCCCCTCACCTTGTACAATTCACTGACTTTATCCTGGCATTTAATATATTCCTCATAATCTGCAAAGACCTTAAACCTGGAGGAGAATGGAGAGACCAGAACTCTGTGAGGTTAAGGGTCAAGTCCTTCTTGGTGCAGCAGACAACTGGAGTGCATGAAACTGCAACCCCAGGCAGCCTCCCGCCCACCCAAGCATTGTTCATCCGTGAGCCTCCATGCGGCCTGGCTAGCCAGCTCACCGGTCATGGTGCATGAGCATGTTGACAATGTCCTTGAACAGGTCAGGCTGTTTGGGGGAGAAGAAGCCGCTGCTCAACTGTTCGATGATCTGCCGAAGCTCAGGGATTCGGTCGTAGTACTCCTGGGCATTGTACCTGCCAGAGCACAGCTGTGGTCAGCTCCCTGCAATGGGTTGCCAGCTTCCCGAGAAAACCTGGCAAGACTCAGGGCCTCCACAGCCGCCACACGGCACTCAGCTTTTCTTCCCACACTTTCCGATGTAGACACTCAGGCCCAAAGGAGTCAGAAAAGACAAATCTGGAGCTGGAGGGATGGCCCAGTGCACCCGTGCACACACAGACATACACCTATCATTTTAGGAATGGAAAAAAAAAGACACAGGTCTTGACTCCAGGCAAGGACAGTTCTTCCCAATGGTGGAGTGCTTGCCTGGCATGTGAGAGGCCCTGGGTTCCATCCAAAAAATAAATAAAAAAAATAAAAACTTTCTTCTTCCATTGTTCCAAGGCCACCTCTGAGACGCACATCTTTAAACTTAATAATGCCAAGCTCACTGTAGGATGGTGCTTGCTTTCTCGAACTTTCCAGGTAACACCCATCCGCCCGCTGTCCTAACCTTGCCACAAAGGCCGCCTTCCCTCCCTCCCTGGCTCACTGTTCCCTTAAATCAACAACAGAGTTCTCCTTCCACAGTAATCCTAGGTCCTTGTGCCCTGCTTTGATTCTCCCTGCCTGGGCACAGCCTCCACACAGGCACTCTACCCCGTTCTCTGCAGTCAGATTTTTCTGAAGTAAGTCTGGCCTTGAACACCCAGATCTCATTAAGTGCATCTTAGAGCCAAGAAAACAAAATCTGAAATTTTACTTTCTTTGACAGTATCTCACCATACAACCCTATCTGGCCTAGAATTCTCCATGCAGACCAGAATGGCTTCAAACTCTGTCCAGAGTATAGGGACTAAAGGTGTGTGCCACCACACCTCACTGCAAGTCAGAAATTTCTAGGAAAAAGCTCTTTCAGCAGCGAATGCCAGCTTGCCGAAGCTGTTGCTGGGGCAAGAGTAAACTGATACCAACCTTCCAGAAGCATTTGAAAAGCTTAGGAACTCTCACAGTTTTCTTTTTTTGATTTTTAAACAGAGGGTTTCTTTCTGTTGCCCTGGCTGTCCTGGAACCCACTCTTGTAGACCAGGCTGGCCTCAAACTCACAGAGACCCTTCTGCCTCTGCCTCCTGAGTCCTGGGATTAAAGACATAGGCCACCACTGCTATTTTTTATTGTTTTGGGTTTTTGTTGTTTGTTTTGTTTTGTGTGTGTCTGTGTGAGCACTCACCACACATGCGGAGATCAGAGGACAACCTAGGTGGGGATCATCACCTTTGGACCTTGGGTCTGAGACAAGTCTCTTCGGCACTGTGTAAAACAATTAGCTGGCCTGCCAGCTTCTGAGTCTCCTGTCTCTGCCTCCTACAGGCTTGCTGGGATTACATATGCTTGTGCTACTGCTTTTACATACATGGGTTCTGGGCATCCAAAACGGGTCACCAGACTTACACCACAACCACTTTACCTAGTGAGCCATCTGCCTAGCCCAATAACCTACTTTTTGATATACAAGTATTCACCTTCTGATACTTATCCCCAAATCACTACCCCCACATAAAGAACAATTTTGTTTTGCATACTACATACAACAGTGAACTGGGCAGTGGCTATAGCATAATTTTTTTTTGAGATAGTCTTATTGTATACTCCTAGATATTCTGGAATTTTCTGTGTAGACCAGTTTGGCCTTGAACTCGACATTGACCTTCCTGCCTCTGTCTCCCAAGTGCTGGGATTAAATTCAAGAGCCACAACATCTGGCTTGCCTAATAATTTTTGTAGTTGTTTTGTTTTTTTGTTTTGTTTTGTTTTATTTTTCGAGACAATGTTTCTCTGTAGCTTCTAAAGCCTGTCCCGGAACTTGCCCTATAGGCCAGGCTGGCCTTGAACTCACAAAGATCTGCCTGTCTCTGCCTCCCAAGTGCTAGGATTGAAGGCATGTGCCATCACCACCAGGTGCCTAATAATTAAGGGAATAACCAGATCAGTGATGGAAAAGGTTGCTCACTGCGGTAACATTTACAGTAACTGGAATTGGTTACAATACAGCTTGGCTGGAGAGCTGGAGAAAGGCTCAGCCTTTAAAAGCTGCTCTTCCAGAGGACCTTGGTTCAATTCACATCACCCACATGGCAGCTCACAACTGTCTTTAACTTCTGCACCAGGGGATCCAACACCCTCTTCTGGCCTCTGTGGGTACTACATGAACATGGCATACAGATACATGCAGGCAGAACACCCATACACATACAATAAAAACAAAGGTTAAAAAAAAACAACATTAAAAGCAACAACAATAACAAAACCAATATAGCTTGGATGTAGCATAGAACACTAAACAAACATTTACAAATTTGAGGGCCTGGTGTGTTGGTGCACATTTGTAATCCCAGTGCTCTGGGTGGAAGCCAGAGGAAAGGAGTTCAAGGCCAGTCTGGGCTACATGAGACGTGTGAGATTATGGATGCCAGTTATTTTCTTTGATGTTTTATATTTCTCATTTTTGTTTGTGGTGTGTGTGTGTGTGTGTGTATGTGCATGTGCTTGTTGGAGCCAGAGGCAGACATTAGATGTCTTTTATTTCCTGAGGCATGACCTCTCAGTGGGCTCTGAGTTAACTAATTTCAGCTAACCTAGCTAGTTGACTTGCTTTGGGGTTTACTTGTCTTTGTTATGCCTGGCTTTTATATGGGTGCTGAGGAATCCAAGCTCTAATCCTCACAGCAATCACTATCTACTGAAATATCTCCTAGCCTTGTATTTTTCCAGTTAGTGACCATGTATTTTGTGTGGTTTTACTGTGTGTGTGTGTGTGTGTGTGTGTGTGTGTGTGTATGTGTGTGTGTGTGTGTGTGTGTGTATGTGTAGGCCAGAGGTCAACTCTGTGTGTTCCTCAAGTTCCTTGCATCTCTGAGACAGGGTCTCTCACTAGCTTGGAACTTGCCAAGTAGGCTAGGTTGGCTGGCCTCTTTTCTCTACCTCTCCAGAGCTGAGACCACGTTTGGCTTTCTATGTGGGTTCTGGAATCAAACAAGTATCCTCATGCTTGTGATACAGGCGGCACTTGACCAGCAGAACTATTCCCCAGCCCAAGTGTTATTTTTCTTTAAATTTTTCACAATGTGGGGGCTTAATGATTAAGAGTGCTTGCTGCTGTTTCAGAGGATCTGAGTTCTGTTCCAGCATCCACAACAATTGGCTCACAACCATCTGTAACTCTAGCCCCAGGAGGTTCACACCTTTTTCTGGCCCCTGCACACATGGGGCATTCACTCACATAGACACACACACATACATGAATAAAAATAATAAAAGTAAATGCTATTTTTAAAAACACATTTGAGCTGGCAAGATGACTCAGCAGTTAGAAGAGTTCTTGTTCCTGCAAGGACCCATGTTCCCAGCACCCAACAGCAGCTCACAGCCACTGTAATGTGAGTTCCAGGGGATCCAAGCCCTCTTC